ACAACTGACACCAACATAGTAATAAAAATCATGTGCTGATCAGCTGAATAACTGCAATGATTTACAGCCGTAATCCCAGGCTGAATTACAGTCATAAGATAAGGACTATCTGGACATTTGAGAGGCGAGCGTCTTTTAAGGAAATAAACAGAAGTGTAAATTCATTGTAAGACAAAACGCCCCTATCCCCTCCCTTTAAACCAAGCAAAAAACAACCCACCCAATTGGATCATCCCATCCGAGGTCCAGTCGAAGTTGTAATGCCTGATCCACTGTCCCCTGTCAACTCAACAAAGAGAACTCATTTTAGTGCTTGTAATTTTGCAGGGGGTGGCTACAGCTATCGCAAGACAATTCTCCACGTGGCTGAACGTGGCCAGTTTGTCTACCTGCTTTGCAGAGTGAGTCACTACGCCAACTGCACATGCCAAGCAAGACAGTGGAAAGTGTTCTGAATTGAGCTGACAGACCAGAGATGGCATTCATCACGTTCTGACTGGTTCTGGAGAACCAGTAGTAGAAATTTTGAGTAGTTTGAAGAACCAGCAAATCCCCCCACTGACTGGCAAGTCCCAGCTGATCGGCTGGGTCTTCTTTGGTTGCCCTGCACATTTGTTCACACACATATACATTTATTCATCCTTACAATACATCCTCCGCAATCTTTAGTATTATTTGTGTCATAGTCTCGGTTATCCTCTCAACAGCTCTTTTCCATCTTAGGTCCTCCCTTTCTGTCCCCCACCAATGGTAAAATCTATTCCAAATTATATAATATATTCCGATTCATCCTTATTTTTAATCTCTAGGGTTAGCCTATCCATTTCAGCGCATATTACTTCGTCCTTACTAGGGGTTATCAAATATAACTCTTTCTTATATATTTTTTGGTATAATTCCCAATAAGAAACAGTAAGTCACTTTTTTGAATGCTGTTGTAACTTGGAACAGTGGCTCAACAAATGGTTATAAGTCAGGGACTAATTGTAGTAAATGAATGAGAGATATCCAGATAACCAGTGCTTTAAAGGTAACCACCAGTACGTTGAATTGCACTTGGAAGCTCAACCAGTAAACAATGCTGCTCACAGAGGAAGTGGTGTTAACACTTGCCGTGTATATGGCACAATTTACAACCCCATATAGCATGCAAAATAGTGGTGTGCTCCTAACAAGAGGTACAATTTTTTAACATGCTTGTGGGTGGGCATTTAATTATACTGGAGAACGGCGATTGAATAAAACAATAGAACTTACGTACAACAAGATAGTTCCAGAGGAGAGAATCATAGCCGAATTCAACCTACGTGTTAATTCATGCACCCGGTTAATAAAACAAAATGACCATCACATGAACGATCCCCTAAGCCACACTTAAAATTTCCAGCACACATGAAATGTATTATGTATGCAGTGCAAAGTACGATGGCGGACAGATAAATAACTTTCTCAGACAAACCTCAAATTATGCAAAGTTTTCTGGAACAGAATGGTTGCATAAGTTAGGGAGTGTTAGTAACAGCTTAAATGTTGTCTTGCATCATACAGAACAGCAATAGCACTTAGACTTATATCCCGCTTCACAGTGCTTTTACAGCCCTCTCTAAGTGGTTTACAGAGTTTACAGCATGTTTACAGCATGTTGCTCCCAACCATCTGGGTCCTCATTTTAACTGACCTTGGAAGGCTGAGTCAGCCTGGTGAGGATTGAACTGAATTGCTGGCAACCAGCAGTCAGCAGAAGTAGCCTGCAGTACTGCATTCTAACCATTTGCCACCAAGGCTCATAAAGTACTTAAAACCCAGTACTTTAAAAAAAAATCCAAATACTTAAACCAATGTCTAGGTACCCCAACACAAGCATATTCCACACTACCTGATCCAATATAATTTAATGGGCTGGAAGACTGAGAAAAGCAAGAACGCAAATGGCTTCCAATATTTGAGAGAGGCTGTCACAGAGAATAGAGGGAGTCAAACTATTCCCCAAAGCACCTGAGGGCAGAAGCAGAAGTAATGGATGGAAGCTAATCAAGGAGAGATCCAACTTAGAACTAAGAAGATATTTCTTGACTGTAAGAACAATTAATCCGTGCAATGGCTTGCCTTCAGAAGTTGTGGGTGCTCCCAACACTGGAGGTTTCTAAGAAGAAATCGGACAGCCATTTGTCTGGAATGGTATAGGGCAATGGTGACTAAACTTTTTGGACTTCTGTGCCAAGAATTGCACACACGCTAGCGCGCGTGCACTCGCATTCCATCACCCAGAATGCAATGCTCATCCCCTCCCCACGCACCCTGCGCATGTGCACACAATGCCCCACCCCCTTACCTGCACTGCACCTCACAGCTGATTTTTCGATGGGTTTGAGGCCTTTGGCCTTCCAAAGGCTTGGAAAAAGCCTCTGCAAGGCTTTTCAGGATGAATTATAGGCCCATTTCATCACTTCCGGTATTACAGGAAGTGACGAAATGGGCCTATCGTTCTGAAAAGCCTTGCAGAGGCTTTTTCCAAGCCTTTGGGAGGCCAAAGAAGGCCTCAAACCAACCGAAAAAAATCAGCTGTGAGGTGCGCACAGCGCAGTGGGGTAAGTTTACCTGGGGCTCGTGTGCCAGTACAAATGGCTCTGCATGCCACTTGTGGCACGCGTGCCATAGGTTTGCCATCACGGGTATAGGGTCTCCTGCTTGTGCTGTGGGTTGGACTAGAAGACCTCCAGCATCCCTTCCAACTCTATGATTCTGTATTCTAAGGAAGCAATAGCACTTAGACTTACGTACCGCTTCAAAGTGCTTTATAGCACTCTCTAGGCAGTTTACAATGTCAGCATATTGCCCCTAACAACCTGGGCCTTCATTTTACCTAGGATGGAAGGCTGAATCAACCTCGAGCCAGTCAGGATCAAACTCCAGGCTGTGAGCAGCAGGCTGAGTCAGCCTCGAGCTCCATCAGGATCGAACTCCATGCTACAGGCAGAGTTAGCCTGCAATACTGCATTCTAATCGCTGTGCCACCAGGGCTCCTAAGCTTGCCATATTGCCTGGGCAAATAATATGAGCTTCTCACAAAGGTCTCTACTGGTGGCATTTTGAGATCTTTGATATTCTCTCTTCGTCTTGCCAAATAGCCAAGAAACACAGAAACCACAAGTAAGCCTACACTGATAGGTGTCTCAGAGGGGAAATGGCCTCGTTTTCAGGCACAGCATATCTTGCATGACTACATTGTAGTAACATGTGCCATCTCACATTTGTTTCCTGCCTTCAGCATCGGCCTTGGCACATTTGATCTCTGTTTCCTATTGCAGTTCTTACTTGTCACTATTCCTCTGAGTTGTGGTTTCCACACACCTGACACGATGGTAGGAAAGCCAGATTAGCTGTTAGCAGAATGAGGTGAGAATTATCTATCACATCATCTTGCTGGGTAGAATTAGTGGGAGGTGAGTGTTTTTATTTTTATGCTAGTTTGTTCCATCCAAAAATAAAATTGAAAAGTGGGTGTGTGGAGTAAATGTGTTGGCTCTGAATTAGTTTTATAATAATTCAACAGCATTATTTCTAGCTGCAAGTTGATTTTTTTTTTTGCTTGCTGAAAGGGATTAGGGCAGGGGTATCAAATTCCAGGCCCGCAGGCCAGATCTGTCTCTTCTTGGTTTTTTTCCCTTGACAACATTTCACTTCTCATCCAGGAAACTTCTGAATGAGAAGCAAAACCTCTTCCAAAAAAAAAAAAAACAACCCAAGAAAGTCCAGTTGCCTTTTGGGAAAGCTTCTTTGGGATAGTTGGGGCCAGAATTTCCATTGCTAAGCAAAGTGGTTGTTTAAATGAGTCTCGTCCGATTTTACAATCTTTGTTTGCCCCAAAACACAGACCCTTTTTTGGGGATCCTCCATAATTTTTAAAATTGGAAAGACAAAAAACGTTTAATAAATGCTGGCAATAGATGGTCTTTTCAACCTGGAAAGATAGACTTTTTTTTTAAGCTTCTTACCCCTTTTAATTATGTGTGTATATATTTTACAAGGCAGCTGGTAAACATTAAAATGAAAAAAAAAAAAATCAAAGCCGACAAAGGTAAAATTACACTATGAAAATCAAAATACATTAGACAGAATCAGCAACAGAGAATGTGTGTGTTCTGGATGAAGCCTTTGTTTTTCTGTGAATTATTTCATCTATTATTCCATTATTCACAAACTATATTTCACAAAGACTTTACATACACCTACAGTACATATACATCAAATTTATGAAGGTACAAAATGGATTTTATAAATTATTTCAGACACATTTAAATTAAAGTTCACAGTACTATGGGCATTTACAAAATAAAATTAAAGTTCTAGAAAAACTGCAGTTACTTCATATCTTTTTATCAAAGAGATATCAAAAAGAAGCACATTTTTCTCTCTTGTCTCTTTTCCATCCTGTATGTGACTATCTCTCAAGAGGATTTATCCTTCCAATAACATCTGGAATGATTTATTGTTGTCAATGAGGTATGAAGTGTGAGAATGCTATTAAAAGGGGAAAAAAGAACTGAGCAGTTAAGGAGGATTTGGGACTAGAGATTATACAGGCCAGAAATAGAAGAAAGAATGAAAAAGAAACTCAAGGTAACTCCATCTTAATTTTCTTAGTATCAAATGGGTCAGAGAGAAACTTGGGCAGTCTTTCAACATAGATGTGAACCCCTTGAGATAAGGAATCTAGGTTGAGGAACAAACATAGCAAGGATTCCTAGAATCCTACTTTATTGTTGTAGAATATATCAAAATGTTGAGAGCCTGTCCAGGTTTCTCTCTATTCCGTGTTAAACTAAATAAGACAGCATTATTTTGAGTTTTATCCCCATGATTGTTATATGGGCCAATTGTACCTGGAGAAGTGAAATGTTTAAAACAAGTGGTAAATCTGTGCTTTTCCCCAAGTTATCATGACAACAAATAAAGGTATTATCGACCCTACCCCGCTCATAATATGAGTTTCCTATCGATCACTCAACTATACTTATTTCAGATGGATGCTTTGCACGTCCGCAGTGCATGTTGTGAAATTGAATGCTGTCCTGTAAAACCTGCCTTGAAAGGCGCCTTCGAAACTCATCTGTGGTAAAGTAATAAATTATAGGGTCGAGGCAGGAATTTAAACTGGCAAGACACAAGGCAATGGCGTGGAAGACCAAGATAGCCTTTCGGGCATCAGAATCTTCTATATTTTGGGTCTTGACCAAATAATTCAAAGGGAAGCTGATGTGATAAGGACCAAAGCAAATCAAAAAGACAACAGCACAAGTCAGGATCATCTTCAAGGCTTTCTGTTTCTCCCCGAGGTCTTGGGAAACAGAATTCTTCTCTTGGAGAGATAAGATGGTCTTCCAGGAACAGTACAAGATGATCAACAGGGGGGTTACAAAGCCAACCAGCTCACCCAGGGACATCATTGCTATTGAGATAGGTTCATCTGCAGTCTTCAAGGGCAGGTCGACAAAACATTTATCGTCAGCACAGGTCTTGTTGGAGGTAAGACGCAGAAGGGGGAAAGATAAGCAGCCAACGCAAACCACCAGCCACCCCACAATGCAGATGTACATATCATAGATGCACTTGCAATCACTGAACTTCAGAGGGTGCATGAGGAATTGGAACCTCCTCACACTGATGCAAACCAAGAAGTAAATGCTTGCATACATGTTGACGTACTTGAGGTAGAAGCAAAACATGCAAAGTTCCTTCCCCAGGTACCAACTTTTAGACAGGTAATAAAAAATCCTTAGTGGCAGAGATAAAACTTGGGCCAAGTCTGCAATTGCAAGATTGAACATAAAAATCACGGCCCGTTTAGTTTCTTTCATATAACCATAGAAGACCCAGAGAGCCAGAACATTCCCAATCAGCCCGGGAATCAGGATGATTGTGTACACGATAGCATAGAAATGTTTCAAAAACTCCTCTTCATTATAGTTTGAGTCATTGGCTGCCATGATTTTCCTTGTGAAATATGGAGTGGCTTAGAAGAAAGGTAAGGAGATTATCTAAAATTGTTGCTATCTTGAATTCTCAGGGGAAGGATGTGAAAAGGCTACAACCAGAGCTGAGGCACCACATAGGTGAATTCTGAATATTGCCTGGTTTTGATGCATCATCTTTTCTTTTGCAAGCTTGCAAAAACAGATGTGCTTCCGTTTCTTTGTAGGGGGAATCATTTTTTAAAAAAAGAATATTTAGGATCTTTTTGCTTCTCTGATTCTCCGGATCCTCCTTCAGCTTTCTTCATTGTGTTGAGTTTTGTCCAAAATAAGCTTGTTTGATTATAGCATCCAGTTGATTTTTGAAGAAGCTTTATCCCGGAGCTTCGAGTCCTCGTTCTCAAATAGGTTTTGTCTTGAGGAAAAGGAAGACAAATAAATCCCAAATGTATGCTGTGGACAAGAGGCAAGGAGAACCAGGTATCATCTGAGACATCACAGCCACTGCCACCTGTACGAAGAGTTTCTGTTCCTTTTCCACTGTCGTACCAAAAAGGACTTTTATAGTTGTTACTCTGCAGTACAGCAAAATTGGAACACCTGCAATTGAAGAAAATGCAAATAAGAGTTTATGTAATCCTATTCAATGGAAAGTGTCTCAAAGTTGGCTTGGTTAGAGGTTCCATCAACCAACCCATCTCAACTCTGTTAGATACACCAGAGAAAGCTGTAATCTCAAGGCCCTCTTTTTGGCAGAGCTTACACCAATGTCTACTTGGCCTCTCATCCCAACCTCACTTCCTCAACAGGCATTCTACCTGCCAGCTTTAGAAAGAAAATAAAGCTGCTTCTATTTAGATTGGGATTGTTTGGGAATGCCTCCCCTTTGAAAAGAGAGGAATCTACGGTAGATGTCCTAGTGGACAACCACTTAAGTACGACCCCAAAGTGGCCAACACACTCTTAAACTGCATCAGCAGAGGGATAGCATCAAGAAATGATAATACCACTCTACTGCTCTAAGCCACATTTGAAATACTGCACACAGTTCTGGTCACAATACAAAAAAGATGCAGAGACCCCAGAACAGAGGTCTTCAAACTTGACAGCTTTAAGACTTGTGGACTTCAACTCCCAGAATTCCTCCTCCACTCATGTTAGCTCAGGAATTCTGGGCGTTGAAGTCTTCAAACTTGCCAAGTTTGAAGACCCTTGGCCTAGAAAGAGCGATGGGAAGAACAATAAAGATGATAAGGCTAAATCAGACAGGGCTCTCCAAACTTGGTAACTTTTAAGACTTGTGGACTTCAACTCCCAGAATTCTTGGAGTTGAAGTCCACAAGTCTTAACATTACCAAGTTTGGAGACCTCTGGACTAAGAGAACTTGGTATGTTTAGTTTAATAAAGAGAAGGCTAGGGGAGACATGATAGCAATCTTCCAAAATTTGAAGGCATGCTACAGGAAAGAAGACCTCAATTTACTCTCCAAAGCACCTGAAGGTAGGTCAAGAAGCAATAGATGGAAGCTTGTTAAAGAGAGAACCAACTTGGGAAGAAGGAGGAATTTCTTGACAGTGAGAACAATTAATCAACAGAGCTTGCTTTCCAAAGTTCTGACTATTCTATCCCTGGAGGTTTTTAAGAAAAGATTGGAGAACCATATGTCCAGGGTTACTATAAGGACTCCTGCCTTGGGCAGGGGGTTGTATTAGAAGACCTCAAGATCTGTTCTAGCCCTATGATTCTAAAAGCATCCAATACAAGCCATGACAATATGTGCATCGTATCTGGCACAGATTGTATAATACTTGCCATTTGAATGATGACACATGAGGTCCTTGGCCCCCCCAAAATAGATACTCATGTCCCCTTCTAAAATAATCTCCTGCAGCTTCCATTCCTCTTGGTCAAGGGTCTTCAAATTTGGCAAGTTTAAGACTTGTGGACTTCATCGCCCAGAATTTCTGAGCTAACATGACTGGAGGAGGAATTCTGGGAGGTGAAGTCCACAAGTCTTAAAGCTGTCAAGTTTGAAGACCCCTGCTCTTGGTCAAAATATATCACTGTTGTCGTCATCATCATCATCATCATCATTGTCATCATCATCATGTAATAGTATAAAAGAATAGTTAGATCCTTTTAGATTTGAGATGTAGGAGTTTTATAGGCAAGTGAGTCTTATTTCACTCTTTCAAGAATGCTAAGCTGGTCCAGCTGTATTTGGAGCGTTGTCTGCTCTAAAGCGGATAATTGCTTTTCCTGATTCTATTTCTCAAAGTCCCTGATGCTATGTAGACAAATTGATTTTAGCAAATTTGCAAAAGATTCACTCCTCTGTTTTCATAAGGTCTCTTATGGTAGGATTAATAGTAAAACCACTATTTCTTAATTGTTTTGTGCTGCCTGGCTAGCTGGATTGCTTTTCCTCTATTTGCTGGAAGCTGCTGTACATCTACTTTACTAGACCGTAGATCTGTTGAGGAAATGTAAAATCATTTCATTGTGTTACTTTAGAATTCCTTCCCTCCCCAATTATGTTATTAAACATCAGTATATTTGATTAGGGGCAGGCTGTTCCCTCTGAAAGTTGAATGAAAGTACAACTTCCATAACAGAAACATATCTTCTGAGATTGTGATAGAACTTCGGGGAAAGCCTCCAAAGAGCTCATCAATCAATCATGGACAAGGTGAACCCAAGGTAAAGGTAAAGGTTCCCCTCACACATCCATGCTAGTCATTTCTGGCTCTAGGGGGCGGTGCTAATCTCCATTACAAAGCCAAAGAGCCAGCACTGTCCAAAGACGTCTCCGTGGTCATGTGGCAGGGAAGACTAAACGCCAAAGGTGCTCAGAACGCTGTTACCTTCCCAGCAAAGTGGTTCCTATTTTTCTACTTTTGCATTTTTACATGCTTTCGAACTGCTAGGTTGGCAGAATCTGGGACAAGTAACGGGAGCTCACTCAGTTATGTGGTGCTAGGGTTTCGAACTGCTGACCTGCCGACCTTTCTGATTGACAAGCTCAGCATCTTAGCCACTGAGCCACCGCAATCCCTGTGAACCTAATCTTGCTGTATTTCTTACTCTGCTGTATCGTATGAGTCAGAACACATAATCTATCATCTTTCACAGTGTATTCCAGTGCCATTAGTAGCACAAAGCTTTTAAATGTGTACCTTTCAGGTGGCTTTGATTGTGATAGATGAAGACCATTACTTAATGTTCAGTGATTTGAGGTAAAACATTAAGTCAATGGCCCTTTCAAATTTTCTGTCACAGTTGAGCCATAGTAAAGTCCTCTGTTATATAAATAGTGAAGATTTGATTCCCCCTCTGAGGGGTTTGCAATGATTAATTAAAATGCCACATCTCATATTATCCTACTAAATCACTTCCCTCCATAATGTGCCTTTCTAACATGCTGTTAACAGCTAGTTGACAAGTCTGAAAATATAGTTTCATGCAGTTAGAGACACTCAGCATGAAGAAAGCTGGCATAAGGTGTGTCTCCAGAACTCAATTGGTAGGAACAATATAAAGCAGCAGAAAGATTATACCCCACTGCATTCTACTTAGCATCTAAGAGCCTATAATTTAACGTATAAAGAAATGGGGTGTAATCTTTTGGCTGCTTTGTCACATCACTGCCCCCAGGCGCATAATGTTATACACATTCAGCTATATTCGCATCATTTGCAAAACACTAAACATAGCTTAAGAAAAATGACTGTTGTTATGCCATATATAATGCCAAAACAAGAACCATAAGCAGCTGCTGCTGGGCTGGGGATGGAGCAAGGGATTGCGAGATTGGCTGGGAAACTGTCAGAGAATGTTGAAATATCAATAGCACTTAGCAATAGTACTTAAACTTATATACTACTTCACGGTGTTTTACAGCCCTCTCTAAGTGGTTTACAGAGTAAGCATATTGCTCCCTCCAACAATCTGAGTCCTCATTTTACCGACCTCAGAAGGATGGAAAGCTGAGTCAACCTTGAACCGGTCAGGATCGAACTGCTGGAAGTGGACAGAATTAGCCTGTAATACCGAACTCTAACTACTAGCGGGCCTCCAAGATTCTTCCAATAGAATAGAACTGGAAGGGACCACCAATATTTTCTTGCAGACAACCAGTGGCAACCACTGCTCTAGAACACTAGCAAGAGCTGTTGAATATAAAGAATGTAATCTCGTGGAACATCTGATGATGTTATCCAGCCAGAGAATGAAACATCTGCCAGCCAACAACCCAAATCGGTGAGCATCAAGGACTCCATAGTTCAACCCTGAGCAACAAAGATTCTCTTCTCTTAGAGAATTTAACCACCTAACTGGTGACTTCATGACCCTGAGAAATAACTAAATACGGGCAAAGTGGTGTAGTTAACTTATCAAGATTGAAATTTCAGTACTGCCTCAAATTTAAAAAAAAATGTTGTGTGTATTTTAGTTCCAGAGCAATGGAAAATCCAGCAGTGATTACAAAAGCCATTGATTTTTTTTGTTTATTTTATATTATGCACATTATACAGCTTTCCTCCTATCACTTATTCTTCCTATTCCATTCCCATTTTCCTCCTAGTTAAAGGGTAGTGATTAAACTTTCACTTGCTTGCCATTGGGAATTACAGACCCTTTGCTATAAAAGCTCTGTAACATCGTGCCACGCTTTGTCTCAGCCTTTTTGCCAAATAGATATTGATATTTTGCTCATTAAAATAAAAATAAAAAGACTGGAAGAGTTTGGCAGGAAAAGAAAGAATGGTGGGAAAATAGAAAGAATGTTTAGTTAATAAAGGAGAATATTTGTAGCTCAGGGTTGACATGAGGGGTCCTGGGTACTCTCTGAGGTTGCTTGTTTTGTTGCAGATGTTTCATTACCCAACTAGGTGATATCATCAGTGCTAGTAAGGAGTGGTGTTTGCACTCCTTATATATTTAACCTTACATGTACTGACTGCGGCGAGAATTGTATTTGCACAATATTGGAAAAATGGGAACACCCCATCAGATGAAAATATAATTCAGAAAATGTTGGATTGTGCAGAGATGGATAGATTGACATTGAAAATAAAAGATAAAGGAGATACACAGAGTATTACATGGTTTTATCAATGGTTAGAGATAAAAGGTAGAAATTAGATGAAGAAAGAGCAGCATTATGTACAAGTGAAACAGGAACGTCAGTTATAATTATAAATATGTTAATATAATCAATAGGATTACAAATAAGCTAACATAATTATAAATATGGTTAGAATCATTCTGTGTA